CCTCCCTTTTCTGAAGATGGGAACCACATTGGCCCTCTTCAAATCCTCTGGAACCACACCAGAGCACCATGAGTGCTCATAAAGCCGTGCCAGGGGTCCCACAATGACCTCAGCTAATTCCCTCAGCACCCTGGGGTGGAGATCATCAGGACCAGCTGATTTAAATATGTCTGGTCCCTCCAGAATTTCCCTAACTAGATCCTCGCTGACCCTTGGCCTGAGTGCACTGTTTATGCCTGCCACTTTAAGGGCCTGGAGCTGGCAGCTGCCAGGTACCTGATGAGGGCAGCCATTTTGAACCTAGGGCTGCCCATATAAAAAAGGCAGTTCTGCTGCTGGAGGCAAGGCAACAACACTGCCTGACTGGAGGGCTGCAGGTATCATCTGGAGGTAAGGGAGGAGCTGTAGGGGATGGTCAGGAGGCTCCTGGTCCTGGGTATGACCAAAAACTGCACCCTGCCGGGAGTGGGTGGCCTGGTGGGGCTCCCAGTGGCGCAGGAGCCCCCAGGAAATGCCAAGCCAGTTACCACCCCAGTGAAAGGCATGTCGGGGCGCCTTAACCCCTAGCCCCCACAACCAGGTGGGTTACCCCTTGTTTGGAGGGCCTGGAGGGTGGACCCTAGAGAGAGAGAAAAGGCCATAGACTTGCACCTATCTGGACATCCCCTGACTGGTCCATGCTGGGGCCAGGACCAGAAGGGTCAATGGGCCAGAGGCCTACTGCTAGGAACACCCAAGAGCTGCGCGCCTGGGGTTCAGACTGGCCTGGAGGTGGGCCAGGGCTAGTGAGCCAAAGGTCCTGGGGGGACCACAGCCAAAGGGGAGGCGGTTCAGAGAGCTATGGAGCCTCATATGAAGGCGGATGAGACCGCCTGAGGAAAGAAATCCAGGTGGGGTTCAATAAGGAGGATGCTGGGCCCAGTGTTGGGGCCAGTGATTATGTTACCATCGAGATGCCATCTGTGAGGCTTGGGCTGCGGTGTAGGGGAGGAATAGAGCCACAGATAGCGCCCCCCTGGCATCAG